TCTGTGTTATTGACAATATGCACACAAGAACACCCCGTGCTGATTCATTTCTGTGATATAAGAGAGGGTATATACTTCACTGTGGCATCCCTCAGTAAGAGATGCAAGAGGTCATGGCAGTGGCAGTCTGTAGTTGCCTCTTCACCTCCATAGTGTACACAGATCCCTTGCCTTCACAATATCTCTTGGTCCCACAAAATATTATATCAGGTAACTAACATGAATTGTAGTTTTAAGAATAGCTCTGATCATAGAAAGTTTGGATGAGAAGATTCAGTTTTCCCCTCTGTCACATTTGTAGAAATAACCATCAAAAGAGAAGAGGAGAAAATTTGATCAAATATATGTGTATTACACCTTAGTACATCAGAATTTCATTGTATAGATCCAGCCTAGGGACTAACAATGAGTTGAAAAATGACCTCTTTTTTAAAAAAAAATTATATTCATCAATGGGATGAGCATCCTTAATAGAGTAGAACTGTACAGAACTCTTTTTAGATCACTTGCTGTACCACGTGGGGAGGAATAGAAACTTAGCATTTTCTATTAGATTCCTTCAGAATTCAGTGTGACTTTCTCCTTCTCAGTGGAATGTTGACATGGTTCTCTCTTTCTGACTTCATGTGTGGAGAGCTGGGCAACCACTCCACCACTGATTTACCTAATAGAGAATGTGGACCAGACTTTTCAGAGACTCCCAAACCTTGGAATCACTCAGGGAGCCAGTTGATGATCTCAGTATTGATCCAAACCTTCTACCGCAATGCCACTGTTAGAATTAAGGAAGCAGGTGTACCCTCTGACAAAGCAAGCTCTTCTTAAAGTGGGGCAAAACAGAGTTGTGTTCCACTGTCTTTTTAATTGTTTTTCAATAATTTTCATAACCATCTGGCTTTTTAATGCCCTGATGATACTGACATTTTATAATCCAAGAATGATGCCAACAAATGACAACTTATTGCTCAATTATTGGAAGACAGAATGCATTTATTCACTAAAGCTCAAATCCACACCTTTGGCTAATGAATGTTGGCATGCAACAAGGTGATGCTAAACTAATCTTCTTGGCCCTGTTTTCTGATGCTTTCCAGGTTCTTCAAGTAGAAGTGGTATTTTATCCTGGTCTGTGCCCGGTTAAGGCTTGTGTGCAGTTTTCCTGAGAGCTGTCAGCCTTATGTAGAAGAGAAAACACAGGGCTCTGAACTTCACCAAAAGCAAAGGATGATAATACAGCAGACTTCTGTCTGGGACAGTATCTCACTGCTGTTTAATAGCTTTTAAAAACTTGCTGGAGAAGAGCAGTGCCTTTTGCACACTCTTTGAGAGGAAGACGCCCTGTTCCTCTAGACTGGTGACTGGGTTGAGGGAGGGACCTTCCTGCCATGAGCAGCAGTTGCATGTGCAGACTGCCGGCCGAGGACACGCCCCTCAAGTCTGCTGTGTGTGCTCGGAAGCTTCAGTCGAGTCCAACTCTGAGACCCTATGGGCTCCTCTGACCATGGGATTCTCCAGGCAAGAACAGTGGAGTGGGTTGCCATTTCCTCCTTCAGGAGACCTTCCTGACCCAGGAAATGAACCGGTCGTTCTTAGGTCTCTTGCTTTGGCAGGTGGGTTCTTTACCACTGTGCCACCTGGGAAGCCACTCAAATCTGTAGGGGAGGAAAAAAGTTCCTAGACCTACTTTCTAGTTTCTCAAACAGTGCTTCTAGCCTTTGAAATGTATTTTAATTACTCGAGTAAATATATTTTTGTAAGAAGCTCAAATATTGTGGTTAAAGTAAAAACCAATCTTGACCAAACCTCCCAGTCCCAGCTGTTCATAGCCCAGAAATTGCCCCAGAAGAGAGCACTGTTAAGGGTTGTTCTGTAACCTTCCAGACACTTGATTTGTTTTCATACATTTATCAATACTTATGGAACTGGATAGTCATTTTTTTTTTATTATTTATTTTATTTGGCTGCGCCTGGTCGTAGTTGCAGCAGGTGGGTTCTAATTCCCTGCCCAGAGATCAAACCTGGGCCCCCTGCATTGGGAGTGCAGCGTTTCAGCCACTGGACCAGCAGGGAAGTCCCTGGATAGTATTTTTTCAGTATCACACTGAATGATTCTTTTAATCTTGCTGCTTTCACTATCCTCCTATTTTATTTGTAGGATGGTTCGTAAATACTTGCCTCATATGTTAAGATGCTACAAGTTGTACATAATATTGGTGAACCATAGTTTTTTAAATCATTTCCTCTATTAATGAATATTTAGGTTCATAGAGCATTTTTAAATATTATACTTTAAGTGAACTTTCTTATCCCAATGTATGAAACAAAATTTATACTGATCTGCTCTTCAGTTAAGCTATAACAGAGAGCTTACTAATTTAATATGTAGTAACTTAGACAATATATGAAAACAACACATGTATATACAAAAGTTTGAATTATAAACAAAAGTATTTGTTACATATGAAGTATAATTGGAGAAGGAAATGGCAACCCACTCCAGTATTCTTGCCCGGAGAATCCATGGATAAAGGAGTCTGGCGGGCTACAGTCCACGGGGTTGCAGAGTTGGACACGACTGAGCAACTCACACACACACACACAACTTAGACAAATAATCCATTTGTGCCTTGTTCATACACTTTGTGCTGCAGTTTCTTTCAGTGTAAAATTAGAATAAAAATAGCACCCTTTTAGCAGAGTTGTGGGAAAGATTAAATGAATTAGTATATGTAAAGTGGTCTCAAAGGTGCCTGGCACATGGTGATCTCTGCCTTACTGCCTGCTTTGTGTCTAGAGCACAGTGCTTGGACCACGTTGTATTAGTCTCCATGGAATTGCTTCGATCTCTGGCCCATGAATTGACTAACCTTTGACCTATTTGAGAGCATCATATGAGAGCAATGAGTTCTGCTGGCTCTGTTTACTGTGAGGCTATCACCATGAATGTTGTTTATCCCACTGCACAGAGTCTCTTTATGAAAAGGAAGGAAGTTTCTCCCTTCCTTAGGAAGAGTTGTGCTTCTCCTAGAGTCACCTGGAGTTTATCATACGAACCTGTGTATCTTTTAACTCAGTTGTGCTTCCCTTTTTCCACTGACTGCTAGAATGGATTCATATCTTTTTAAAAAATCTACTTCTATGATTCTAGGACATGCAGTTTGTGTATTAACTGAACTTACGATGTCAACTTCTTTTTTTTTAACCAACTAGCTGCTTCTCTGGGTGATTGTGTGGGTAGCATGAACCCACCACTCCATCTGACAGAGCCCCGGGTGGTAAGGTAGTTTACTGGAGTCTTGTGGAAGGAGCCTTCCCTTCACCTCCTGTGGGGCAAGTGGCAGCTGCCAGTGCTGGGTGGCCCTGTGCACATGCTGACTTTGGCACTGGGTTTGGACACACACAGCTTCACTTGGATGCCTGGGTCCTTTCCTTTTTCTCTCTCCTCTGAAAATCACCATCATGTGAGTTCTTGGACAGAGAAGCAATTGACCTGCTGTTAAAAACTATTTTCCTCTCTCGTTAAGTTCTGAGAAAATGTTGGTTATAATTATATCTTTGGATACTAGTCAGTGTTTGACCATGTGATGACTGGAATATTGATTAATGGGATAATAATAAACTGCTCTCAACACAGAGAAGCCTTTGGTGATTGTCAAGGCCCTTTGTTTATGATATGAAAGAGCGTCCCTAACAATGAACAAGACGCAGACTGGAGAGGGGCTGGAGGAAGAGGCAGGGGAATGGCAGGGGTGTCCTGTCTGTCTGGCCCGTGTCTGGCACAGCCGCCCTGGGAAATGGCCCCTGGGCTCACCCTCCCACTGCACCTTCAACAAGCAGCTGGTGCTTCTCTCAAAAGTCACACCCCAAGGCTTGAATATAGAATTCTTGGTCCCTGTTTCTTTTTTAGAGCCAGGCCTGGCTCCGCCACCTGCCCTCACCTAGGCAGTGCACTGGGCAAGAGGCAGGACAAGGGAAAGGAGGTGATGTCTTTTCTTAATGAAAGAGGATTGGAAAGCCCATTCTGAAGGTTGGAATGTGGTTCTGATTTGGGCCTTAAATTCACTGTGAAGGAAGGGTGCGTGGGAGATGCTGGTCCTGTTCAGTTCCATTAGCAGCTACCTCCCTCCTCCCTGCCTACAACCAGGGCAGACACACCCAGAAAGTGACTGCAGCTCCTGTCTCTAGCTCAAGACATTTTATAAGATTTGCCTCTCCTCTGCTGTGTCAAACCTCCCTCACCTCTGATTTCCATGGTTTCTGGCTTCCTTGTATTTCCTGTGTTTTCCTTCTACTTGGCCCTGGAGATCCTCTGGCTGTCATTTGGGTTCTTCTCAAGCTGTTTCATCCTGGCTTACTCCTCTCAGCTTTAGCACTGCAGCAACTCCATGTCCACCTTGACTGTCACAGCCCTTATTGAGGGGTGAGATTGTCCACTCCCGGAAGGGAACAAGTGAGTAGATGAAGAGCCTGCAGTTGACATCCCCCATCCTTCATGCTCTCTGCAATGTTCAGGATGGGCCTCCATGCAGTAAAGTGTGCCTCGGCTTTGGAGAACCCTGGCAGGAGAGTCAGGAGACGATGTCTGCACCGGGGTTGTTCCCACATTGTACCTTGGTGGATGGTATCAGCTCCCTGGTCTCCTCAAAGAGGTGGACCCATATTGCTGTTGGTGCGGCTGGCAGGCTGTGCCTCCAACCAAACCAGACCCAACACGCCCAGTCACGTCAGGCACCGCCGGGTCTGGAGTTCCATGAGAGCCTTTCTAGCCAAAGGTGAGGTCATCCAGGGGGTGGTTTTGCCAACTTTCATGGCACACCTATCGCTGGCATCTGGTCTGGTCCTCCTTGAAGTGGTTTCGACATCTTGTGGTTTCCTGTTGAGGTGGGTTGTTTGCATAGATAATCAGTGAAACTGTCCTCACCAGTTGCATACTTCATTTGGAAGTTGGTAAGATGTTTTGCCAGTTTTTTAAGTGTGTGATTTTTTTCTTTTCCCTTTAGTCCCAGGTAAATCACCACAGTGCTGCTGGTAATGAAACATACCAGGAACGCTTAGCACGTCTAGAAGGAGATAAGGAGTCCCTCATATTACAGGTGAGTCCTTTCTGGTGGGAATCACTTTGTTCTGTTACCTCCAACTCTGTAGCTGCTTTAAGTGGGAGGGAAGTACTAAGGGTTTTCTCTGTGGGGTATCTCCTGTTCCCAGAGTGTATGTTTCTCAAAAGACTTTTTCTGAAACAAAGCAGAAAGTAACTAGGGACACAGTTGGCTTTGGGAGGCTGTGAATGGATTCATTTATTTATCACAGACTATGAGAGTACTTCCCTCTATGCACTGGAAGCTCTGTGACCAGGCTGATTAAATGGGGCCCTGTCCTCCAGGAATCTTGCAAAGGAGATAAGATGTATCCTCATGTCACTAGTAAAACAAAGCTGCTTTAAAAGCCCCAGGATGGATGCTCACAGGATCAGCCTCAGTTCGTCTGGAGTTGGATCCAAACTGATCACTTTGAGGCCAAATCCCCTGGAGCTGTTAACATGGGTTAATAAGGCTTTGGTGACGCTCTTACTTTGAAGAAAAGTGAAAGTGAAATTCTCTTAGTCATGCCCGACTCTTTGCCACCCTATGGACTATAATCCATGGAATTCTCCAGGCCAGAATACTGGAGTGGGTAGCCTTTCTCTTCTCCAGGGGATCTTCCCAACCCAAGGATAGAACCCAGGTTTCCCGCATTGCAAGTGGATTCTTTACTTTGAAAAAAGGAACTCCAAAACTTTTCAGAAGCAAAGATAGTTTTGGGTCTGAAAACTTGCTTCGCATTCTGAAAAGCTGAGTGCTGTTTACGCATCAGTCACTGTGCCTGATGATTTGGAGAATATTAAGACTAATATCTTAATCCCAGCTTCTAAAAAAGAACTTTGAGGGTGGTGGTGAAGACTGATAGTGGAACAGAAGGGAGGAGGCAAGTGTAGGATTCTGGGCCCCTCCCTAGACTATGGGCCTTCGCTTAGATCACTAAAGTTAGCACTAGTGTTTAGAGGCTACAGTATGTTTGACTTTTTCCCTTCTATTTTACCTTATTTCTTTATTCATTTCACTTTATTTTATGAATAGAAGTATTGATAGAATATATGATTATTTTAGAAACTTTGGGACATCAAAAAGAATTTAACACATTGGCCTTTTCTTCCAATCTTTTTACTTCTCCTATCCTGCCCCTATTTTAAAAAATTAAGCTCAGGCCAAATATACAACTATACAATTTTGCATCCTAGGACTGTTTTTCTTCACTTCATTGATTTATTTGTTAAAAAAATGTTTGCATGCCCACAACTCAGTAGACACTGGTTCTAGGTGCTAGGGAGGTAGCTGTGAAGAGTGTAGACAAAGCCCTTGTTCTCAAGCTTCCATGCATGTGTGTGTGTGTGTATGTGTGTATGTACAATAAACCAATTCATAAAATGTTTCTGGCAATGATAAATACTATGGAAGAAAAGAAAGCAGGATAAGGACTGTGTAGTCAGGGAAGACCTCCCTGATAGGAGGAGACCTAAGGAACTGGGGAGGAAGCCCCATGGAGACTGGGAGAAGCACATTCCAGGCAGAGGAGGTGGTCCATCCAGCGCACACTCTGAGGTGGGAGTGATCTTGGTGTGTGGGAACAACAGGAAGGGCCTGTGTGGCTGGAGCTGGTGACCATGAAGGAGCCTGGGAACTGCCTTCAGAGAGGTAGCAGGGGCCAGATTATATAGAGCAGTAGAGTGCAGATGTTTTGAAGGGTGTGTAATTTTAACCTCCATCCCAATGACATGACTAATGAATGTGTCCAATTTAGAATTTTGCTACAAACAGTATGAAATTGCAAACTATTGAACCAGGAACCTTCATGGCTGAAATAAGACATTCCTATTTAGAGGACCTGGAGAAGGAAATGGTAGTCCAATTCAGTATTCTTGCCTGGGAAATCCCATGACCAGAAGGAGCCTGGCAGGCTACAGTTCATGGGGTTACAAAAGAGTCAGACACGACTTAGCAACTAAACAACCACAGCAATTTAGAGGACTACAGTTTAATACAGAAGTACTCTCTTTGATAGTTTTAAAATCCCAAATTCTTAAATAATCCTTATTAAAATAATCCTAGCATAGTCGGGAAGCTGCTTACAAAAAAAGTCAGAAGCGGATCGTTGCTGTTGTTCAGTCCCTAAGTCGTGTCCAACTCTTTGTGACCCCATGGACTGTAGGGCGTCAGGTTCCTTCTGGCCATTTTAGTGGTTTCTGTTCCTCCAGGGGCTTGTAGACAGGCTGTCAGGGTTGCTCTTACGTGCTCACAACTGTCTCTAGAGGCTCCATGGCACGGACATGACCCCCAGCATGGGAGAGCCTTGCTTAATTCACAAGGTAGCTCAGCCAGACCCAACTCATTGGAGCTTTTGCTCCAGAATGTTTTCCTGGGTTTACCTGCAGAAGAACAAGGGGAATCAGACAGGGCAAAATTTTTTGCTTCCAGAATTAAAAGCAAATAAAACCAAAATCTTTTATTAATATATCTTCATTAGAATGTAACTTCTGAATGCAAGGACTGTCATCTTTTTTTTCTTCTTCTACTTTTGTATCCCCTCAGTTTCTAAAATTATTCCTAGCATGTAGTAGGGGCTCAAAAAGTATTTTTCTTGAATAAAGGTCACATTTAGAATCTTTACATATTTCGTCCCAACTTTCTACACCTCTCCATTCATAACTTTGACTGAGTATTCATGTTCAGAGTATTCGTAGCCCTGTGTATCCTGAGTTGTATGAGCAGCTGGGCTATAAGCTATAGGAGGCCAGAGACAATGCATTATTTTTCTGGGTACCTCAGTGCATGACCCCACAGTGGGGGTACAGACTCTCTAGGTATCAGTCTTCACAGTAAGATTAATCACAGCATATCCTTCCCAAACAGAAACTCTGGGACCCAAGGAGCAAAGGCCACCCCTGGAATGCTACTCTTTTGAAAGTAGAGTAAGTAGTTGGGAAGGCCCAGACTGCTGATCATGTTAGGCAGCAAGGATAAGGTGCCCATTTGGGGATTATGATCGAAATATTAGCACACCATGCATCAGCTCCAGGAATATGTTTCAATGATTCATTAATCACTTAGGAACATAAAAATGAAAGGCTTAAAGCAGTTGTATTCATTAAGATTAGTTCCTCTGTAAAAGGGAGATAATTCATAAAGTTTGTTTAAACACTCATAAAGGAATTCACACTAAGGCTCATGCTCCAGCTATCTTTCCTTTACAGACTGAGAAATAATTTACCGTCATGTATATGTAAATAGCGATGAGTCAACCATTGGTTAAAAACAAGAAGGCTGTAGAAGATCTCAGTTTACCAGTACTTGATTTCTTTATTTTGGCAGAGGTTTCTCATGTGCTTTCTTCCTCTTTCTGCTCTGAGTCACCTTTTAATAACAAACAAGGAAAAAGCGTCCTGAGGCTGTTTGCTGATAGAGAAGGCTATGAAAATCCTCTCAGTCTGTATTTCGGGAACAGTTTAAATGACTTATTGTAAATGGATTTTTATGAACTAACAGTTCCAATAGACAGTCTCACTCTTCTTCAGAAAGACAGTTGTTTTGCTGCCACTGTCTACGCAGTGTGGCTTGTATATATTTATGACTTAGAGTCATGTTTTGGCCTGTGAAGCGCAAACCCTCTCTGCAGCCAAGTGTTGTCAGTGCTAATACATGCCCTTTACGTCCCACATTCCTTAATTGCTTCAGAACCCTCGCCTGATAGGTGAGCGGTCCTCACACCCTGATGAGAGAGGGAAGGTCATTGGCTCGTCTGCACAGAAGTTTGGATTGTGCTTCCACGTGAGGTAGCAGAAGCCCTGGCAAGCCAGCCGAGGGAGCCCTGTGGAGGCATAGAGAGCCAGAGTCCAGCCCGGAGGCCACTCTTGTGGCCGCTGGGTGTTTTCCCCCTCAGTCTGTCAAGAGCTGGAAATGTGACCGACCTTGTCAGGGTGGTGGCTGAGACTTCCTGGCCAGGTAAGAAAATAACCTGGGTTTCCTTCATCTAGAACATTTCCACCACTTGCCACCCGCCAAAAGGAACAGCCCTTCTTCTCACATCCAGGGTCAGTGGTGTGTGGGGAGCCAGTCCTGATCCTCAACCTGTGCTTTATCTCTTGGGACAGGTGAGTGTCCTCACAGACCAAGTGGAAGCCCAGGGAGAGAAGATTCGGGACCTGGAAGTGTGTCTGGAAGGGCACCAGGTGAAACTCAATGCTGCCGAAGAGATGCTTCAACAGGTATGGGCGGGTGAGGCCCAGGGCCTTGGGTCCTGCAGCCGTGTGGGTGAGCCCCTTTCTGGGTCCAGGTTAAAGAGCTCCCTCCTTCCTTGCCAGTCCTGCCTGCAGGGACGGTTGGACGCCCAGCTTGCGGTGTTTACACAGCAGGTGAAACTAGAGGGGGAGGGTGGGGAAGGGCAGGTCTGAGAGGAATAACCTGTCGGGCTGGTTCCACAGATTCCCAAGGCACTTTCTCCAGGCCTTGTTCAGTGAGGAGCTCTCACAATTCCCCCTCATCTTATCATGCCAACCACATGGGACACACGTTGGCTAACTCCTCATGACCAAGTAGCCCATGCTTCTGGCTACCGCCTTTGTCCTATAAGTGGCATCTGGGGTTTTCGAAAGTCAATTAGGCTTATTTTGTGCCTCTTTCCCACCGTCTTTCTTCCCCTACTTGCTCTGTGTGCCTTTCTTTGATAAAATTGATCACATTATTACATAAATAATATTTTAATATAGTTTAATATATATCAAAATGAAAAAAAATTAGCTGCTCTTTTACCATTCAAAAACATCTCTTAAATGTCTTCTTGTTTCTCGTTGGTCCTTTTTGCTGTGTGTACATGTGATATACAAAAACATATTTTCACCAGAGGTATGATTTAGTCTCCAGATTTTCTATGCTTTACATCATAGAGGGAGTGTTTTTTTCCCAGTTTTAAATGTTACTGTTGTTGTCTTTACTATCATCTAAAGATTTTTTTTTTTTGTAAAAATATTATAGTAAATTGACTTTCTGAACAATCTGACCCCATTGTAAATAATGAGCAGCAGTTTTTAGGAAGAGGTGTTGAATTTTTGTCAGGTGTTTTCAGAATCTGTTGAGACGCTAATTAGAAATTATATTTTATGAACTAATGTGATATATCTAGTTAATAGGTTTCCTTAGCTTGCATCATTTTTGCATTGCAGTTATTTTGAAAAATAAACCATTACTGAAGTTTATGTGTGTATACTTTGTAGCTCTTGATATGGTACCTGGCACATAAAATGTGCTCACTAGTTAAAGAATGAAAGTCCTTCTTTTAAAATGAGTGGGTTCAATTAGAAAACTGCTTATAATCCTTTCCCCCCAAGTTCTTTTTTTTTTTTTTTTTTTACTGGTCAGCATAAACTTCAAATTATTTCTTACAGAATAGTAATGAACACAGGCTTTGAATATGACCTCTGGTCTCAGGATAAGTGTCTTACGTCCCAGGTATTTCTTAGCTTTGAGTGCATTTGAGGAACTCAAAAAAAAAAAAAAATCAGTATTTTTATGTTAGTAATGAACACAGGCTTTGAATATGACCTCTGGTCTCAGGATAAGTGTCTTACGTCCCAGGTATTTCTTAGCTTTGAGTGCATTTGAGGAACTAAAAAAAAAAAAAAAATCAGTATTTTTATGCAAATGTCTTTGTAGAAACTAGTTCCAGCAGCTCTGAAACTGTTTTTAGTTCTTCCTTTCACTGATGATTAATAAGTTACCGTGTTCTTGGCTTCATTTGATTTTCTGTTTAAATTCTGTGCCATTTCTCTTGCTCATCATATTCCCTGGAAATCTGAATGACAATAGGAGTTCTTTTTATTTTTGAAAGTTGAATCTTCTTCTGAAGACTCAGGAGAAAAAAAATAGCCTGGTGGAAAAATCTCAAATAGCAGAAAAGCATTTTCACAGGAGTGCATAGGACAACCCACTAGATTATATTTTCAAGAAGGCAGAAGGTACAGTTCTGGGATGGGGACCAGGGAGGAAGATGACGGAATGCTGTAAAAAAAAAAAAAAGAACCTAGACAGATGTAGACCAGGAAAACTTGCATGTGGAAGGGAACGTGGAAGAAAAATGGCAGAAGGTTAATGTTTCAGGAAAGTCGTGCCTGGTGAGTAACTAACCACATAATAGGAGGTCAGAAAATGGTCCATTGTGGTACCTGAGCTCTCTGACCACTGCCCTTCTACTCTTCCACGGCCCCCCAACACCCTTCTCGTGACAATGTTTCTGCTTCCTTATTGAGTCTCTGTACCAAGGAGTTCAATGTTGGCTCCCAGCCCCACCTCGGGGAGGTTGCCTTGTCCTCCTAAGCATTATCCCATAGACTGGATTTTAGACTTTTTTAAAAAATTACTATTTTTTAAAAATTTTTTATTTTTAGCTGTGCTGGGTCTTCATTGGTGCACAAGGGCTTTCTCTGGGTGCAGCGAACAGAGGCTACTCACTAGTTGTGGTGCTCAGGCTTCTCATTGTGGTGGCTTCTCTTGTTGTGCAGCATAGGCTCTAGGGTGCAGACTCAGTAGTTGGGGCCCACGGGCTTAGTTGCCCTGTGGCATGTGAAATCGTCCCAGACCAAGGATCAAACCCTTGTCCCCTGCATTGGCAGGCAGATTCTTATCCACTGGACCACCAGAGAAGTTCAGCTTTTAGACTTTTTAAAAGTCGTAAGCTCAACTACCCTTTTCATCATGTTTATATTCTAAATCTTCTTTCTTATGTGCTGTGGGTGAGGTAGCAGTCATGTGGTTTGCATGTACCTTAGGTGGGTATCTTGGCTTGGTAGATTTTAGAGGGTAGTAGCTCTTATTTGCTCCCTGTGAGGTTGAAAGATCTTCCTGAACTTAACCAAGTTATTTTTATGCCCATAACTTTGACCATGTTCTCTCAGCCCTTCAAGGGTAAAATGAAAGCAGTGTGCTATTGCACTCCTCTCCTGGAGGATCCTGAGTTAAGTTCTTATGGGGCCTCGGAGGCATCGCGCCCACTCATGTGTTGGCTGGGCTTGGTGGTGCCTGAACTGGAGATGGTTGGGTTGCCAGCTGTAAGTCCCACGTTGAATGTTCTGCGCGTGCTAACGCTTCTCTGAAATCTGTTTGATGATGTTTGAAAAGATGCTTAATTCTTGCACCACAGTGCTGATGTAATGCCATCTATAGCTTGGAGTGTGTACCTAAGTGTCCTCTTAACTGGGGACAGGCAGAGACTTGCCTGATCTGACTGTGATATCCTGGGCCCCGGGCTCATGGTAGAAGCAGGCATGACTCATGTCCTTGAGGCAGACAATGGACTCAAACAATTACCTTTTTCTGTCAGCCCTCAAGACTATTCTTGCCTAAGCCAACCTGGCCTCCTGTTAAAGGCCCAGGAGCTCTGAAGGAGCATAGGGCCTGCTGACTGCACATGGACACTGCTTCCCTTGGGAACGAGTTCCTAGCAGCCCTGCTCTTTGAACACATCCTGTTTGAAGAGGCAGCTGACCTCCCATGAATGCCCAGTGTTGCTAGATATTCCAGTTTTCACAAGAAGCTGGGAATATACATATAAGGATTTAAAGATTGGTCTTTCTGTTTTAACATCTTACTGACCAGAGACATATTAATATGTCTTTTGTTACCTGAATGTTATTGACTGGAGTGTTTCAATATTCACTAACATAACAAATCAGCTGCAACAGGTATTAGTGTCTGTAAAAATCCCCAATAATGTGTTAAAAAAAATTGGCAACTAATTTAAATGGGAAAAAGAAAAAAAGTTTGAACCACACAATATTTACCTTCAGGCTAAACCTGGCCAATGGACCTCTGATCTTCAACCTTGATTCCAGACTTGGCCCCTTGGGCCAGCTGGAAGATCACTGTTGAGACAGGGTAGACTTAAGGAAACCCATACTCAACAACGTTAACCCAAACCCTGTGCATCCATGGGCTCCAAACCCCACTGTGCTGTCTCTCCCCAGAGCTGTTCCCCTGACCAATGTCAGCCTCCCTCCAGGAGCCCAAGAGGGAGGAGGTTAGTTTCACACCCGACTTGTGAGCCAAGGACCCCTCAGCCTGGCTTGGCCTGCCCCCTCTCCTAGGTGCTGATCTCTTTGTTGTTGTTCAGTCACTAAGTTGTGTCCAGTTCCTTACAACCCCATGAACTGCAGCACTCCTGGCTTTCCTGTCCTTCATTATCTCCCAGAGTTTGCTCAGACTCATGTCCATTGAGTCACTGCTGCCATCCAACCATCTCATCCTCTTTATCCAACCTCCTTCTCCTGCCCTCAGTCCCTCCCAGCATCAGGGTCTTTTCCAGTGAGTTGGCTCTTCCCATCAGGTGGACAAAGTATTGGAGCTTCAGCATCAGTCCTTCCAGTGAATATTCAGGGTTGATTTCCTTTAAGATTGACTAGTTTGATCTCCTTGCTGTCCAGGGGCTCTCTCCAGTACCACAAATTGAAAGTATCAGTTGTTTAGCGCTCAACCTCCTTTATGGTCCAACTCTCACATCTGTACACGACTACTGATCTCTTAGCTCTCATCTGTTTTCTTCTACACACTTACCCATCTGGTCTCCAGAAAGGGAGAGCGTGAAGACCTATGGGGATAGACAAGTGAACCAGGACCAGACAGAATCAGCACAGAGACAGGGCCACATGAGATACACATAGATTATGGATACATTTGAGGGCAAAATACTTCTTATCTGTAGTCTGTTGCAGAACATAGGGTGGGAACAGAGCATCTGTGAGTACCCCTTGGGACTGTCTGTGATAACACCTACTCTGGTATGGTCTCTGACTCACTGAGCATGTCTCGATTCCCCAGGGAACCTTCCCCATTAGGAAGAGACATTTCCCAGGAAATGTACAAGTGGGTATTCAAAGGGCCACGCCTGAGACTATTTTCACTGGTCTGAGAATGGAGCCCACAGGGCTGAGATTTGCCCCCTGGTTCCTTAAGCAGGTCAGGAAGTCCCTGGTGGCTTTTTCTAGAGGGGCCTCCGTTGGTTCTCTGGGAGGTTCCTCTGCCTCTGCTTGCTGAGCCGCCTCCAGAGGGTGATGATTTCAGTGGAGAAGAGCTTGCATCCAGAGCTGGAAACCAAAGGGAGTACTTTGCAGAGACCGGCCGTCAGCAGATGTAATCAGTGTCAAGAACAGAAGCCACGTTTAGTGCCAAGAAGAAGAAAGGATAAGGAATCCGAGGTGGGAGGAGGAAAGGCTACAGA